TGCCATCAAATCATTCTGCCTCTTAGCAACCCCTCCTTGGGTTTCTGAGGCATTATCTCTACGGAAGTAGACTGCCCAGTCTCCCTTCCGAGGAGTGGCTGGTGGGTTTGAACCACCAGCCTTCTGTTTAGCAGTCAGATGCCTCAGGCAATAGAGGGTCAGCAAAAAAGGGGTAATACCCTCAATGAGAAGGACTGACACAGTGGCTGCAATGATGGGCTCAAGCATAGCAATGATTATGAGGATGGCAAAGACCAGACAGTGTTTTGTTCTATTGTACCCAGTGACACTGTCGTGGTTAAGTTTGTGTGTCAACTTGGCTGGGCCTGGTTGAGTGGCTCGACAGCTGAATGTAGTTATTGTCCATGGTGAGCTTGGTAATTAACTCCATGGTGGAATCTATTGGAGCAGCTGAGTAGCTGCTTTGGTTATGTGGTCTATTTCCCATATATAAGAAACAGCTTTGGGTATGGTCTCTTAGCTTATGGCATGCTTGAACCCTGCATGTAGCCGTGTCATTGTTCAGCAGCCTGCCATGCTCTGCTGACCTTGGGACTTTCAATGGACTTACATTAATGGCCTACCATGTGGTTTGGCAGGGGACTGTGCCTTTTTACTTGTCAACCTTGGGCTTGTCAGCCTCAGTAGCCAGCAGCTGTCTGAGTGAAGAAAAGCCTTTAACTCCAGTGGGCCAGGAGCAGGAGGCAGAGCTGAAGCCAAGGCTGAAGGGCTTTCACCTAGCTCCTAGGGCCTGGCATTCTGAACTGGGACTTAAAGCCTCCAAACTGTCAGAGAATAAACTTCTGTTTGTTCAAGCCATCCCACTGGTGGTATATTCCTATCAGAGGGACACTAGGTAACCAGAACAGTCACAATTAGTCCCAACTGACTTGGCAGCACCTAACCACAATAGGGGATATTTTAGGTTTAAGGCTTAAAAATTAACTCAAGGCAATAGTTTCAGGGATTCATCCAGCCTCCATAGATCTAGAAAATCTGCATTCTATGAGAATTTAAAATTCTGTTCTGCACTTACCCCTTGTGATCAGGATTCTTCTACAGACTCGCTGATCAAAATCATCAGTAATGGGAGCTATTCTTCTCGTTTAATGGGAAGGGATGCAGTTGTTCATGGAAACAATTAACCACACACTCCATTTCCTCCTCCTATTCCTGACTCTCCTTTTTCCGATGTGACTTTTTATATTTTATTTAACAAATCACTACCTACCACCAGGCCAAAC